CATTATAACGCCCCAACGGCTGAAAGGGTGAGCACGGTTGGTGGTACTGAGATTCGAACCCGCGAGCCGCAAATTGCAATTAGACCTCCCTAACCACTTGGCCATGCTGGGCCAATACCGAGCGTATTCAGCCGCATCATGTGTCGAATCATGAACCCTTCGACCTAGTGCCCAACACGCAAGCACAGGCCACACCCGGCCTATGAAGCAGGAAATTGTGTAATTATGTTTTGAGTAATATTCCTCGCAATACAAATTAGTAATATGTTTATTAAGAAATTTTACCTTGCATTTTAGGACAAGACTTGTTTGTTTAAGAGCAAAGCCAGATTGAACTATCTGCTGTGTCCACCGAGAGGAATCGAACCCCGGGTTTTAGCGCTGTAAGTCCGTAACTTTATCGTTATCCCACCAGGGATCTTTAAAGGAGGGGAATAAGCATTTACATTATATTTTTAATTATCAATAACCCTTTCATTGTAAGATGGTGAAAGGGAAGTGAAAGTCTAAGAGATTATCAATAATTCTTTCACTGTAAGATGGTGCAAGGGAAGTGTAAATCTAAAGAGATTATCAATAATCCTTTCATTGTAAGATGGTGAAAGGGAAGTGAAAGTCTATAGAGATTATCAATAATCCTTTCATTGTAAGATGGTGAAAGGGAAGTGTAAATCTAAAGAGATTATCAATAATCCTTTCACTGTAAGATGGTGAAAGGGAAGTGTAAGTCTATTGAGATTATCAATAATCCTTTCATTGTAAGATGGTGAAAGGGAAGTGAAACTCTATAGAGATTATCAATAATCCTTTCACTGTAAGATGGTGAAAGGGAAGTGTAAGTCTATTGAGATTATCAATAATCCTTTCACTGTAAGATGGTGAAAGGGAAGTGAAAGTCTATAGAGATTATCAATAATTCTTTCACTGTAAGATGGTGAAAGGGAAGTGTAAATCTATAGAGATTATCAATAATCCTTTCATTGTAAGATGGTGAAAGGGAAGTGAAACTCTATAGAGATTATCAATAATTCTTTCATTGCTAAATGAGTCTTTAGGTGTTTCCCTTTCTAATCTGCAGACAATTTTACTAGTTCATTGTTAGAGCAAAGAATGTGAAAGACAAAATTACAGGAATAGTGTTTTCGCATTACCTTCGTCTATTATGTGGAACCGACGGCCAATTCTCCTTTCTGGTATTCCTCGTAATGTCCGGTGCGGATGCCTTCCAGCTGCTGAAGATAAAGCATAAGCTGTGAGTTAATAAAATGGACAGTGTATACAATATAAAAGTTCTATTTTATTTTATTTTATTATATTTTGTTGCGAAAAATGTTTTTCGATCTTTTGTTTATAACAACAAAATTGCAGTTTAAAATTTTAAATAATTAAGTGTTTCTTTGATTTATACCCTCCCCCCCCAGTAGCTCGGCGGTAAATCTTCCAGCTTAGAATGCTAAAATCCGGAGTTCAATACCAGCAGTGGGAAGAGCACAGATAGCCCATTATGTAGCTTTGTGCTTAATACTGAACAAATTGTGATTTATAACGTTTTTAGTTTTGATAATAAGAGTATATCAGCCATTTTTTTTAACCCTTAAGTTATTTCCATTTTGTTTGTGTGCCGTTCATTACCGGTGGGGTCCATACATTGCATCATATTGAATAATTTTATCTTTTTTGCCTATTAGAACACTCAGAGTATATATAAAAAAAACACTGACCAAAAGAACGTTGGATTAATTGGCCCATTTCCTATATAAAATACACAGATATCCCCAGTGGGATTAATTGCGATATTAATGTTATTTTTGTTTACATTTCTGTATGCCCAAAAGGTTATTAGAAACTCTGTAACCAAAAAAAAAAAAAAAAAAA